TCTTTTCGAGAGTGTTGCCAACTGCCTTGTACGTCCATGAATGCGGTGGTTCACCCTTCCCTCACATCCATTCCCGTCCCCTCACCGTCAGGAACCCCCACGACATGATGCCACCTCGCATTGTGCACAGACTCGCAGTGTCCCTCCAGGTATATCGGTGCACTCGTCGTCATTGGGTTCCTCGCTTCCTCGGCGGCTGCATCCAAAAACCTTTTATTGGTTTTATAAACACTTGCCGTTACCTCCGCAGCAGCCACTAACCACCTCAGTAAATTGTCCATGCAATGCTCTTAAAGCTTGTTTACATCCTCTTCCATGTCCATTTCATCCCTTACAGTCCTCTCCATCATCGCATAACGATCGGATGCCTGCATTTCGCCCAATACTCCTGCATCGCAAATATACTTCTCGGGATCCTTAAAAACCCCTCCCGCAAGACATTCCGATTGGCGTCCACAAAGCCTCTGCCATCAAATCTCCTATTAAGAAGCTCATTCAGCTTTCTGTCCATGACACGAACTTTTCTTTCAAACAGTACATCTTCAATCTTAGTTAAAAGGGTGGATTTTTTTTCGCTGCTCCGAGTATCCGTCTGGCATTTCAAGAGCCGAATCAAGTTTTTGCATTGCCCGGAAATTGATCGTATCCTTCCTCTCATAGTCCCTCCATTGAAGAAGAGAGAACACACCCTCGTGAAGAAGTTTGTACACCTGGTATTCCGTCAAATTAAGAATTCCTTCAAGAGGCTGCTGGCCTTTTACGTAAGCATCGAGTCTCCGAATAAACGTCTCCCTCGTCGCATTGCAGTCCTTCATCAACGGTCGCCATGGAGCCAATACAATTCCAAAAAAAAATATTAAGCTTCAAGCTGGTGCTGAGAGTGTCTCCGTCTAGCACTAGATCTTCCACCAGACTGTCAAGATTCCACTGCGGTCACTCTTTACTCCCCACCAAATGTCGAGCTGTAGTGTCGGAGCCAACACAGGTGCCGCTGGCTCCAAAGGACACTCGCGGCTGTTTCGTCCCGCAGTCCCAATGGCGTTGGGCGTGGCACTCGCACGGCTCGGTGGTCGGTGCGCCATGCAGCCACACTGCAACGCCTGTCGGTGAAACAGTCAAGGCACACCGCCCCCGCAGCAACGCAACGTGCAATCGGCCACAACACCGCCACATTATCGCCCTTTTCTATTTTATTTTATTCACGTTGTCGGTCCGTTTGCCCCATCACCGGCAATGAAAACAACTGCACAGCTTCACAAAAGGGAAGGAACAAAGAGAAAAGGAGGTACGATCCCACCGTCCCGCCGCGGGCCAACACTCTCCTCCACCCACCACCATTGCAGCACAGGAGACCGCAGTCACATCGCAGAGTCAGCACCACAATGTGCACCACACCACCGTGCAGTGAACGATGGGCGAGAAGCAGCCATGCATCGCCCCGCTCCATTTTACCACCACTCAAGTGTTGCGTGCCCACACAAAGTAGCAAACAGAATCAGAGTGCACACAAACCCCAATCATCCCCCTCACTCAATGAAGCAAATTATTCGCATGGAGTGACAACATTTGAGGGCACACCAGCAGTAGCAGAAGGCATGGAATTTCCCTACCAACCCTGCGAAGAGACACAACAACTCTGCGGAGTCAAAGTGGCAGCCCCTCGGTGTTGCCCGCAGTTCACATGGCAGGAAGAATTCCACGCACGCATAGTTCCGGACTCCTCGCTGTTTGAGTGCCCAACAGAACATGTGAAAAATACGTGCGCGCAAGATGGAATTAAATACGTGAAAACGTCAGCTTGCTTTCTCCGATGGCGTTGGCGAGCAGTCCCACACAATCCAATCAAAGTGGCACGCCGGACAGAATGGCGTCCGTCAATCAATAAAAAATGCGACACTGAAAAGGAGCAGAGAAAAGATGGCGCATGCGATTGTCAGTGACAACTGTGAGCAAACCCGCCAGCACCAACTGGGGCGCCGAGGAGCACATTTGTGTAGAACTGGCCGTCAGGCAGAGAGGACAAATAAAACAAAAGAGCAAAAACCCTCTCGTTCAATGCCTCCTGACCGCGACACCAGAATCAAAATACCATGGACGATAAGAGCGGCAACGCCTTCTCCAAAACATCTTGTCAAGAAGCCGCAGGACCTCAGGAAGGGAGGAAGGCAGCGGCGGCAGCCACAGCGGGGGAGGCAATAAAACGGCTGACAGGCACCCTCACGTCGACGCGCACACCACATCCGAGTGGGCTGGGAGCACTGATCGAACCGCTCGGAAACACACGCATCAAATCCGCAAAACAAAGCCGCGTTGAATCGACAGGAACTCCCGCCCAAAACAAATTTAAAAAGCAGCGTTTTTCAAGGGGGGATCCGCTTTTCCGACGACGGCACGAACGCCTCGCAGGAATTTCTTGCAAATCTCCCTTCGCAGGTCCGCAAGAAAAACGCAGCGGAATATAAAGAGAGCGCAACGACGCAAAATAAAATAATCCTCCTAACCGACCAGGTGGCAGGCCGCCCTCGCGCAAGTGGACAAAACACAACTTCACTCCGGTCTTGTCGTGGTGGTCGTCTCGCAACTATTTTTTTTTCTTTTCCGCCGCAGTGCACATCTCCTCCCACAAATCATTTGTTCGGGCCATGTTCCTGCGGCCAAACATCGCGCTGCTGGATCCCGCGGCACAGTCCTCGGCACAGAAGTGATGGGAGGAAGAGGGACCGCAGAAGGTGCGAGCAAATCCGAATTCGGTGGCGGTCGCTGCAGTGAAGATTGACGTCCCACGCGGTGTCCCTTTTCTAGGTCCGGTCCTCGCCGTGCCATGCTCTCAGCGTGCGGTGCGCCGGCCGCTCCGAACATCCACACGTGCTTGCGTCTCACCGTCGCTCCCAGCCCCGTTCGTTGGCTGCATCAGGGATGCCGCCATCCGGAGACGAGCATAAGGACGTTGCACCCAACAAAACCTTCAGAGGCACCCGCTGGGCCAACGACAACCGTCACTGCGGGATGTGTGACCCTTCCGTCGCTCACCTCAAATCGCACTTCTACGCCTCCTCGAGCAGCAGCAGCAGCATAAATACACCGGTCCACTAGGGGCCGTCACCAGCCATTGCAGGAAGACCACTGTGCCCCAGTGCCATGAAACCCGAATTGCATTGACGGGCCACTTCGGAAAATCCTGTCGCATCCTCCCCCAATTATGCGGAAACACATCCGTCGTGCATGTGTCCACCGCAGCAAAATGAATCTGGTCCAAATACCCTCCAAATCAAATTCCCCTTTCCTCAAGCCATTCCTTCACTCCATACGCCCTGACCCTCATCCGCACGTGCTCACTCACACAAACCGCCATAGACAGATGGTGGCCGCCCAACGCCCCGGAAAAACATCTCCAGCACGCACGCGCACAATAAATGGCATGCGCAAACGCACGGCACAACGGCGGAGAAGCGCACACCAAAAGGATGCGGCCCTCCACAGCAGTCGCAGCCCACTGTGCGCATCACACCCGCAGGAAAGAATGACTCGCGGTGCGCGCTCCCTCTCTCCTCCTTCCCTTCATGACCACGGAGGAAGCAGCAGCCACCCGCAACCGCCAGCACACGCCACAAAAAAAGCATCCAAATCGACTGCAATGTGCATGTGGTTGTGTGTGCTTGCAGAAACACGAGGCAAAGAAGTAAAAACAGGAGCGGAGCATGTGGAGGGACGCACAAACAAAAATGTACAGCAGAAGCGCATGGCAGAAATAAAGAGAAAAATGCTGCTCAAGCTCATGACATTGCACTGCAGACAACGCAGCGGCAATTCATAAAAAAAATTTATTAAAATTTAAAAAAATTCATCTTCACCTTCCACCCCTCACACTTTGAGAAGAAAAAGAAAAAAAAAAAGAAAATGAAAAAAAGTCGTCCTCTATTACGGCTACACACAAATAATAAAAAAAAAAAAGAAAGAAAATGAAAAGCCACACAAAAAAAGAACCTAACTACCATGTTGCTCCAGAAATTGTCTGTATATATTTTGTCCGGAAATAAAATTGAAAAGATAATTACGTGTCTTTCACCCGTCCAACCCTCCATGTGTCCGCACATCGTTTATATTTCATGGGGTCATCTGCACGTTGCTGCTCCCCTCAGCCCTCTCATTAGCGCGTGAGTGCGGCCCGCAGGGCTCAGCCACTCGTGTGTGTGGGGACTGAGAGAAGCACGCAGACATGACGGGAGTCGCGTCTCTCCATCGGGAGAGTGAGCGCACAAAAAGAAAAAAAATCATCAGGAGGGAGAGAAATGCTGACGGGACTGCCAGCGCGTGAAATGAACACGAAAAGCAAAAAAAAATCCCTAAAAACACGGCGGCAGGGTGTGGCTGTGTGTGTGGCGCTGCGAGTGTCTGCCCGCCCTGGCCGCATAAAAACAAAACAAGAGGGAAAGAAATGTGTGCTCCGCCCCACAGGCCCTCGTCGCACGCCCACACGTCACGGCTCCCTCAGCGCGCCGTTCGTCGCGGCCCCTCCTCATGCGTGCAGCAGGCGAGGCGCACAGGGCCGTCGTCATGAGCGTGTCGGTGGGTGTGTGAGTGGAGCAGTTGGGCGGGAAACACACGGCACCCCTCACAGGAAGAGTGCAGCAAAAAACAATAAAAAAAGGGAAGAGTAGAAAAGAAAAGACGTCCATAGTGGTTGCCCCCAAAAGCAAAAAAGAAGGAAAGAGTGGAGCAAAAAAAAAAAAAAAACATAAAAATTTTTTTGAAAAGCAAACAAAAATAATTAAAAACAAACATAAAAAAACATAAAAAATTATACTCCAAACAGAAAAGAAAAAAAATTAAAAGCCGAAAAAAAAAACGCTCATGGTGGTTCTCCTAAAGCAGCAACGGAAAAATGGAAAACATCAAAAGAAAAAAAAAACTATTCTCTGCTTAGTAAAATATATTCATTACCGGATGTGCGTCGGTGTGGGGTTGGGGCGCAAGTGTTCCACACTGAGGCCGCACACTCCTCATGCAGTCGCAAATCCCCACAGTCCCAGCAGAAGCAGCAGCGGCAGCAGTCCCCTCCCGTACGCGGAACCAGCATCACCATTTGCCCCACCATCACCCGTTTCTCGTGCCGTCCCTTCATTCCCAGCAGAAGTAAATCTTCCCGCTGGCGCATGTTGGGTATTGGCGGTTCTCCCCGCCGGTGCTGCTGGTACTTCCAGTGGGCCAGGCACCGCAGATCCAGCAGATGCGATGGTTTGAGGAACATCTCCCGCTTGCGATTCCGGGCCTCTTGCCAAAACGGGGATCCTTTCCTTGATTGCGGTCATCTCAGTGGGATTCAGTGGGCGGTTGTACAGAAAGACGTTCGTCACCGTCAAACGAGGTTCTTTGCCGATCTCCTTCGTAATGGGCTTCTCCGGACTGGCCTCCTCCTCCTCATCACCATCATCAATGTCGCACGTGCCAAAGCAAAACCTCAGGACATCAGGTGGCCTCTCATCTGTTGACAGCGCTTCTTCCTCCCCCAGCGACTTACCATCAATGTACACAGAGGCCTTGTTGCCTTGCAGCATGAGTGCCACTTGGTGTTCTTTCTTCGGCTCCCAAGGCCTGCTTTCCGTTGTTGGTTTTTTATCGTCTTTGAAAATTGTCTCCCACTTGTTATCCGCGGTGTACGACAGTCTCATGATATACGGGGGCCAAGTGTCAACCAAAACCGCGGTCAGGAGAGGAGTGTTCTCACTCGGAGCCTCTTCGATGGTTACCGACGCCACAAGTGTGAAGTTGTGGCTCAAGGATATATGACGCACATTATCACCCCGAGTGTTCACACGCCACATTACCCTGGAGTCAGGCTCCGTCAACTGAACCCCATCCTTGACCTTCTTTGCGTTCCTCACCGTTGCATTCAGGCAAAGGTACTCGTCGATCCACCTCCCATCACCGGCCGCATCGGACAAAACTGCCACCAGACCCGCCGTGGGTATAGAAAAGCTGGAAAAGAAAACGTCCTTTTGCGACCAAGTGCTGAGGACGGACCCAATTTCCTTCAGTTCCTCCGTCATGCGAGAGAGTGAAATGGCACTGTGTTCACCACTGCCCCTCCGTTGTAAAAGATGCAACTTGCCATCCGAGTACAGCAGGGTGCTGGCGAGCTCCCACCTCACAGCAGCCTCCTCCATGGCAACAGGTCCAACACAAAACGAGCGGTTGTTATCCGTGACCCAAAGATAGAGCGGATTGGCCTTATTTTCCCCCGAGGCGTGCCCTCTCTGAGTGTACAGCATGACCTTCCTTCCCCCAATATTCGCGGTGATGAGGGCATCCACACGCAAGATCGGATCCCAAAAGACTGATCGTGGCTTGGCCCACACGCCCAAGAGTTTCCCGATGGCCTCCGTCCACGTTGTCCCCATGTCACGCGACTCGTACACCCTCTGGCCATCCTCGCAGTCAACAATCATGAGAAGTGTTCCCTCCCATTCGGTGACGCGGGGGTTATAGCACTTGGGAGGAGACATACCCTCTGAGAGCGACCAGTTTTCGCCACCATTCTTCGAATAGACAATCGTGTAAAAAGCTTCATTTGGGTTTTCCTTCATCGCCACCAGAGAAAACACGAGAGTGCCATCCTCCATCAGAACACCTGAGCCACCAGAAGGAAAAAAGGTATTCAATTTACTTTTGTGCTTCAATGAATATTCCGAATCGAACAGCGGTCTTGGGTCACCCCATTTAATCCGTCCACCCTGCTCGCCGCGCGTGGACGGCGTGACATCACCCACAACAAGTGTCAGCTCCAAGTCGACACGACCCCACTCCTCATTTTCATAGAAAACGTCAGAGCTTCCGACAAGAAGAAACACCTTATTGCCCTTCGCGATTGTTGTGGGGTGGAACACAACACCCACACGATCATTTACCTCCGCTTTACCAAGCACGGTGTGTGCCCTCCATGTACCTTCATTAACCTTTTCAACAAGAGTGGGCCAATCCCACACAGAGTCGAAGTACTCCGCAACCACATCAGAAGAAAACAACTTAATTCTTTGACCAACTTGATATTCGGCATTCATGTGACCTTCGGCGAAAGCAGCAATTACTCCACCAGCACTGACGAGAGAGGGTGAAACAAATGAATCCCTCGGCGTACCTGGAACAATCCCATCCTTCGGCAGCACCGGCGTCTTCTGTGGCACAAATAGATCGACCCTCTGCAAATTCTGAATATTTATTAAATCATTCTTGCCATCTTCCTCGTTTGCAGACGTAGCTCCACAGGTGGCGCAGCACATCATCATAACGAGGAGCAGCACAGCGGAAGCAAACACATGCCGGGACATGTTAGGCCTCTGCGGCTCACTCTCTCTTCCTTCCCTCCTCCTTCCGCTGGATCCGGTCACGCGGCGACGGTTGTGTGTGCGGGGTGCCTTCACAGCAGCAACACGTGAGAGCATATAAATATGTGTGTGTGGGCGGTGTGTGTGTGCTGTTTTTGATCCTTTCAGAGCCCTCGAATTTCACAGTAGCAATTCGCGCTTGTTATTAACTTACTTCATCGTGGGGAGCAACAGGCAACAGCGGCAGAAAGACAACACAACAGCAGTACACACCTGAACCACTCACAGCGAACCACAACATCACCATCCCCGCAGCCATTATTCTACAGCACCCCTCAACAGCATACAAAAATTAGGGGAAAAAGTGGGCAGCCTCCCAATGGGGGGACCGCAGGCCACGGTCCTGCAAACAAGGCAAGCGACAGGGAGCCACATGTGCAGTGAGCGATACGAGAGTTGCACTGCAACGGCACGGCGGCGTGACAACCCGTTGGGAGCATCGATGCAGACCAGCACATCACGTGCGGGAAGAGTTGCTTCTCCCGCTGAGCAGAGAGGAAAAAAGGCCTCAGCGCCCCAATGATGAGAGGTCGCCCGCACCTCCTCGCAGCACCAGCAAGCTCTGTGGGCACAAAGATGCAGACGACGCTCTGCTGCACGCATGACGGCCGTTGAATCCTTCACAATAGAAATCGCATCCTGTGGCACCACATGCCGCAGCGGATGCGCACAGCATCCGTCTCCCTCCCTCCTTTCACTCTCCCTGAGAACTCATCGGTGGCCGTGGCACACCCACCTGCATGTCAGAAAGCACTTGTTTTTCCTCTTCCCTCGCACATCGCACAGCAGCACCGCCAACCTCATTTCATCTCCCTTTATTCTACGTATCCTCTTCCGTCAACTCTTCCGCTACCTCAATCCGCCCACCTCCGTTCATGTCGTCTCCCCTTCGGGTGCTCGCACCACACTCACGGTCTTTTTGATTGTTCTCTTCTTGCCGCATTGCGTTCCCAACAGCACCATTGGAGATAATTCCTCGCATGAATGAAGTTTGTTGTCGCAAAGCGTTGTCGCCCTCCTAATCAAAGGGAAACAACAACGGATAAACGCCCGCAAAAAAACGCATCGCAGTCTTTCCCTAAGAATGCGTGCACCCCAACTCATTCCATCCGTTTCTCCTCGCCAGTCATCCATGCCCACAGCTCCGCGAAAGCACGTTTTCACCCGTGATCCCGGAAAGAAATGCCGTTTCACTCACCACCATCACATCCACACTGGTGCAGAGTTGCCGCTCGCACGCACCCTCTTCCACAGAAAAAAAGCCAATCCACAAACGATAAAATAAAAAAGCAGCGCGATGCGTTGACAAATTCCTTCCGTTCCGTCTGTTTCGTGATGAAGCCCCGCCCCCTTGATTATGTATTTCTGTCTCCTCTTCTTGTCACCCACACAAATAAAATGCTCAAACAAAGTCCTGAAAACCCTTTTATATTTCACCGACACCTGCTCTGCGCCCTTGTGTCGCGTCAATAAAAGACCGTCATTCACAAATGCACCCCGATGTTCAAAACGAATACCCGCACCCCCGATAATCCTTTAACAGAGTATTAAGAGCAAGCTCAGAAGCACGCACCACCAATACAGTCATAAAGCCAGTAATGAAAAGTCCATTCCAGCATGGACCTTTTTTTTTTTTTAATCTTCATCGCAATTGGCCATATACGAATTGAACTTGTCCAAACAAAACATTCCTCTGTGACAAATCCATTCTCGTCATGAATCCTTCATGAAACCCCGCCGCACTGGTTAAACTTTCATCACTCAATCGGCCACGGCAAGCAAGAACAGAAACAGCCACATAAGGACAATCATCTGGTGAAGCATGCCTTTGGCATTGTAGACGGATAATCGCACAGAAAAACTACCCATCCACAAGGAAACAGCATACACTGCGGCTCCTGCACTCTCTAATAAACACCTCATGAAATGAAAATTTGTGTCGCAATTTCAGAGCACTGAAGGACTCCAAAAGAAAAAAAAAATGAATTGAAGGCAACAGTCGAGCACAAGTTCTACTGATTCTTTCTCCGCAGGGAGAAAGGGCACCAAGCACACTGCGCTCGACATTCACTCACAATAACACACCAATAAATAAACCAAGGGCAGTGTAGAAATGGCTTTATTCCATTCAGCAGCCCCAGCGGATGATAAAATACAAAAGGGGCCCAACGTAACGATGGTTCCTATCATGGCACCAAACAAAGTCGTCAATCCATTTCAGGATGGGAATTAAGGAATTAGCTGCAAGTGCAGAAACCGTCTTCTCCATCCAGCACAGGACGCTGAGAAACTAGCCAACAGGCCCAGAAAAAACAACATGCAGCAATTCGCTCCCAATATTCCGGTAATCCCTTCTCACACCGGGTTATCGTCGCGGCCGACAAGTCCAGTTTGCGCGGTCCTCCTTTGTGAATTCACAAGTGTCATCATGATGAACAGCCCACAAACATACCAAGGCAATCCATACGTGATTTCCTCAAACACCATTGCAAAACCTTCCAACACTGTCTGCTCCGTGATGCAGATCGTTTCTGGAAGTAAAACCATTCGTGGTAAAGAAGCGCATCCCTCGTCAAAGGCACATCGCCCATCACCCGCGATGCTTGCACCTCCAACGCCCTCCGCTCAGCCGCCGAGAAGGAGACATGATCACGAGCAACAGCAGCAGTGGCTCGCACGTCACACACACAGAATCCTAATCAACCAAGCAAGCGATATTGAGGTTCGATCCGCTGATGCCTCCGAAAAGCAATGGAAATATTGTTGGGCAGCAGATTTCTCGGACTAAACGCCATCCGCACTTCAGCACATTTCGCGCCAAACATTCGCAAAAAACGCGTTCCGCGTGCGCGTAGC